AATTATGTTTATTTCGAAATTTTTAGCTGATTTTCAGTTTTGGGTAATTTTTCAACGTGAAAATTCGAAAAACAGTAAAGTAGTCGGATAGGATGTAGAATAGTCCTCTGATGACCTTTTTTTATTGTATATGCATATAGAACAGGTTCTTCCAGGAAATACATGAAAATAGAAAATAATACGTAGAAAAAGTGATAGAAAATAGCTACATGAAGGTAGCGAAGATACGTGCGGAATTAGAAGTAGTATATCAAATTAAAAGAAAGAATGGGGTGTGTTCGAATAAAATTAGTCATTTGTTATTGTGATTGCTGTTTCTCTAAGCGTTTTGTATGATAATAGTCCAGTAATTCGGTATTTTGAGTTGGCATGCATTTTACGGTGCAACTAAATTTATGCTAGCAGTAGATTATCATTACTGTTACCAAAATCCAAGTCAGAGTCACAGCAGACAGAATGTAAAACAATGTTGCTCGATCCATTGGCATTGATGGTACACTAGAACATTCAGAGATGATATGACGTATGTGAATTGTAATAGGGGCGTTCGGACCTGTACGACGGTTTGAAAAGAATTGCGCCTTCAAGATACAATGCACTTATAAATACGACACAATTCTATACACATATTGATGCAACATTATTTTGAATTAACATTAAGCGGAATACAATGATAAGTTTAAGAGTCACACTTAAATGAATCGCTTACAAGGGTATATTTTTCTACATTCTAAGTGCGGCATGTTACAAAGTCAATGACAAAAAGTTAAACCGAGAATAACTACAAAATTTTTAGATGCAAAAACATTCAATGGAAAAAGTAACGAAGATTGTTCGTCATATCTTAACATTATCGATATTGCTCACACTGGATTTCTTTTGTGCAAGTCCAAAGTTCTCAGTCAATCATCAGACATTGTCAAGGTATGCAGTTCTCAAGAAATTCTTCTTTTCTAACGAATTCGCCAAGAGAACATGTTGGTCTACTCGAGTAGGCACGTTTTCGACCTAGTCGTTTTAACAACCATAACTGAATCTTTTTCCAACTATAGACTACAACCACTGCACAACAAAAGCATGTTAAAACAGTAGTTAGTGCAACAGCTGTAGTTGTTACTCATTGAAAACTTACTCTAATACCACCATATAGCCAGACGTCCGAATATAATTTTGTATCAGCAATTTTTTTCCTTAAACCATCGAGTAAATCAGCCGAAGTTTCCGTAAGACTTAAATTTTTCAATTGTGATGTTAATTCATTAATTGAGTTTTCATTCAATTCTAATTTCAACCCACCATTGACAGGCCACAAATATATTTTTGTGGTATTGCATGTTGAGCCGCCATAATAAGAATAATGAGCACAATGAAAATGTTTAGAACCATCAAGTTTTATAACTCCAGTCTTTAGAATTGTTTGGATTCTTTTACGTTTTTCATCATTGCCAAGAAATGAAAAACTCCATATATCTTCTGATAGACGAACACTATATGGAGAATGAAACTTAGTTTGGCTGTTGTACAGGCACTGGTATCATTTGTAGTTAATAGATCACGAAGACATGGTGTGGTATATGGTCATAAGTAAGTGGTAGTAATCGACAAAAACTGTACGTTCCCAATGAACATTCAATAGTTGATGGCGGTTTTGACCATTCCATATATTTGCCTGACGATGACAATGCTATTAATGCTGGAATTCTGTCCAGCTGAATCACTGTATTATTTGAGATAAACAATGGCATTGGATGAACTTGATAGAGTGTAAATTGATCAGATGGAACAAATATATAATTTCGTATGACAATGTTACCTAGATAGTCCAGGAACAAATCAGCTTTTAAATGAGTATTCTTCGGGTGTAATTTCAATGTTTTTAACAAATAATCATATGCCTGGTCACCACTTGGACCAAATGACACCTACTGCTGTACAAACAATTTTGAAATTAGATTACTGATTGAAATTTCTAAACCGTTTCGTAATGAGTTTTTAATTTTTGAATAGATGAATTCAAACAAAATAGCTTGTTCGTGCTGCTGAAGGTAATCGAAATTAAATTGGTTATTACCGATATCTTCAATCGACAAACGAATTATATTAGACGAATCAATCATATCGTTCTGAAGACGTAAAACCGTAAAGACGTAAAACCGTAAAGACGTAAAACCGTAAAGACGTAAAACCGTAAAGACGTAAAACCGTAAAGACGTAAAACCGTAAAGACGTAAAACC